CAATTTTTAAATCATAATTGTTGTTTATTCACAACAAATATTTAACAATAAAAAACATGGATGGGACAAATCTGCTTTATGAAAGAAGAATTGTGGGTGGTGGTTTAAACAGGGTCATTTATGGAAAGGCAACCATAGAAAGAATGGGGGAGGCATTTTTAATCCCTTCCAGATAGGCCAGGTCAGGAAACAAGCTCTACAACAGTGGTTCTCAACCTGTGGGTCGGGACCCCATTTGGGGTCGAATGACCATTTCACGGGGGTCACCAAACCATGCTGTCCACCATTTTTTTCCCTTTTCCCTAGCTGTCCTACTCCCTCTTATTGGTGGCCACACCCACTTGGGGGTCACCACAACATGGGGAACTGTATTATGGGGTCACGGCATTAGAAAGGTTGAGAATCACTGCTCTACAAGAATGCTGCAACTGTATTCTATTGAGTTAAGCTACAATAACAGAATCCTGAAAGCCTGAATGTTTTCCCTTTGCTTCCTCATATAGCCTAATAAATCAATGAGGTTGATTTCTGAGTCTGAGTTTCTTTCTAAAGTTTTCTTCATTTCTCAGGCTTAAAGCATGGTTTTGTAACTATCATTGCATAGTTTCTCCAAAGTCATCTCTGTGCTTCCACATTGGAGTTCTACTTCCATCAGCCCAGCTGCATATACCAGGCCTTTAATCATATACTAATATGATTAAAGGCCTGGTATAGGGCCTCCTGCTTCAGCAGGGGTTGGACTAGAAGACCTTCAAGGTCCCTTCCAGCTCTATTCTGATTGATAAAAAGATTAATATACTTTCCCCAGATATGCCAGAGTACAGCTCCACATTTATAAGGAATTATGGGAGTTCTGCTCCAATATATCTGAGAGACACCCAAACTAAAAAAGCCTGGAATAATACACTTAATCTATTTCCTTACATTTCCTCCCACTAGGACAGGGGTCAGCAACTTTAAACACTCAAAGAGCCATTTGGACCCGTTTCCCACAGAAAACACTGGGAGCCGCAAAACTCGCACATGCACACACGTGCGCCAGAGGAGGGGCTTCATTGAAGAGTTTAATTAAAAAGAAATAGAGGGTGCTATACATGAGTTCCCCCCTCTCTCCCCCCTTTCCTCTCCCTCTCTCCCTTTTTGTTTTTTTCTCCCTTTTTCTTTTTCCTCTCCCCTCCCCTTCCTCTCCCTCTCCCTTTCTCCCTCTCCTTTTTTCTCTCCCTTTCTCTCGCCCCTTTTATTTCTTCTCCCTCTTTCTCTCTCTCTCTCTCTTTCTCCCTCTCTCCGATCTTCTGCTCACCTGGCAAGCTGGCTTCACGCTGTTCTCCAACAAGCTGACACACATTCTTATTGGTCTGGCTCTCTCCTGCCCTTGGTCTGCCAGTCCTCTTCCCCCATTCAGTGTGTGTGTGTGTGTGTGTGTGTGTGTGTGAGAGAGAGAGAGAGAGAGAGAGAGAGAGAGAGAGAGAGAGAGAGAGAGAGAGAGAGAGAGAGAAAGAGAGATGCTTGCAGCTTTCTGCTGCTTCCTGCAGAAATGCAGAAATGCAGCAAAGGAGGAGCCCCACCCAATAAGCTTGTCAGCTTGAAGAACAGCGTTAGGCCACTCTCTTTTTTTACAGAGAGAGAGAGAGAGAGAGAGAGAGAGAGAGAGAGAGAGAAGCAAAGTGCAAGTGCCTCTTTCTGTCTCTCTCTCTGCAAATGGTGGAGGAGGATAGGGAGCCGCAGGTGCTCCGGAGCCATGGGTTGCCAACCCGTGCACTAGGAGAAGCGAGATAATTCTGCCTAAATAACTTTTTGTTCCTTCAGTTTAGCTACTGCATCTGAGCAACAAATGAAGCACGGAATAAGTAGCCTGGGTCACAAACATAAATTCATGTGAAAACAGTATAATTCAAAAGGAATAATGTTCAAAATCAACATTTTATATTTGTTGATTATATACAAATCAGGTCATGGATACAGCAGGATACAGAATGTTGTTTTCTTCTGTTTTGTAACTTATCCTGATCACCATGAATTCTCTACTCTTTTTAATCTTCACTGTTCATTGACCTGTGCACAAATGCCTTTAGCCGACATAGAAACAGATTTTCTATGATTACTGATAAATTGGTATGAAATAGAAATCCATAAAGTTAAAAAGCAGTAAATGAAGATTCTGCATATACATCTAGGATCTGAAATTGCACCTTTTTTATTGCTAAGGGACTAGCCCTTCAACACTGGAAAAATAAATGTATGATCCAATTATGTAGTGCTAATGCTGCTTATATGGTTAAATGTTATTGAATTTATTGTGTTTCTGCTATACTAATTGTCTTTTATTGTTGTTGTATTGCTTTATTCTTTTTCTCTTCTATATGCCATTGTTTTATTTTTTTTCCTCCTTACTCTATCTTATTAAATGAATAAAGATTTATTTAAAAGTAAGTATTTGTGAGAGACATTGCTATTGCAACGGGCAAAAACATTAGGAAATTTATCTAAGACTATACCAAGACACCATCTATTTAGAGACTGAAATTAAGGGGCAGAAGTTGGCAAAATATATGCATTAAAGGCAAACACAGCTACAATTAAAACTTAAATATAAGCTGTCACATTTTTCATCTAGCATATGACCTGCATGTCCTAAAAACTGAAGTAATTAGGGCCAAGGAACCAATATGTATGTGGGAGACATTTCATGAAAGAAAGTTCAAAGATAACAAATGGGTATAAAGGGAAAATTCCAAACAGAAGCATTTGTTACTTCTAAAATCTACTATAATGACTTCAAAATATACCTGAAAAAAACCAAAAATATAAAACAAGGTTGCCTCAGAAAAATCTAGCATAATATAGGGGTATTAAAGAATCTTTTTAATATCCTATTTTATTCAACAGAGATCTTGTCAAAGGCAATAGGACTAAAAATAGAGACTGTATTAAAGAATTAAACTAAATAAAAAATGAGGTAGGTGAATAGTATCTCTTATTAAATAATAAACTAAATTGGCTAGCACTTTTTATTAATTAGCATTTTTTTCTTTCTTTTCCATTTTTACACTTGAGCCTTCACTACTCGTGTTGGAGTATTTTTTCCAATGTCACTCTGGATGAGGATTTGTCAATGTATGACTGAAAGCAAGAGATAAATGTATATAATTCTGTTTTCATTCCTGTCAGTGCAGATTTATATTCCGAATACAAGCTGATTTGGGGAGGGGAAACCATCTTAACCATCTTAAGCCTACTGCATTGTTGAACAGCCTTTTAGTGTCAAACTTCTAGGTAATCAGCTTTTGTCTTTCTTTTTTCACTTTGTCTTTCTCATGTTGCAGAGGATAGTTTAGATACTTCTTAGCAGTCTTTTCTTGCTCCCCTTACCTGCATGTTGAAGTAAATGCATTTCTTAAGCCTAATTTTTAGAGAATGCTTATCTGACTTTTCGAGCCATATAAACTCTTTAAATTAATTGTTCAAAATGCAGCCCTTTTTATTTAAGTGAGACTGCCCTAAGGAGGTATGCAGCACTGCAGGGAGGACTTCTAAGGTTAATAATCCTGAGAGACTCTGAAAAGGAATAACAATGACAATGAGATAAAGCTGCCATCTTTTGGTCCTGACAGAGTTGCACCACAGTGACTACAGTACAGTCAACTCAGTCTCTGTGCAATCAACCATGAGTACGTTTTGTGGGGAGATTAAGACCCATGAATCATTTAATTATTTGACTTTGCTCCCCTCTTTGTTATTTACATCTTTAAATTGTTTATTCATCTGAATATACATTTCTTTCCTCCTTTCCTGTTATTTAATTCTAGTTCCTGAATGTAAATGCATACAAATGCAGGAATCCCAATCAACTGCTTACTTTCATGGAGCTGAGATCCTGTTAGGCTGGAGGATCTGCCTAGAAATTTCTCCTTGTACCATGTACTACTATTTATCACAAGAGCCCCTAATTCAGTTCTACCTATACTTAGTTATCAGCAAGGAACTGTAATGTGGAAAAGAGAGAGACCACAAAAGAAAATAGAATAGTACACTCTTTTGACAGAAAAGAGAAAACTGCAAATCCCTTTCTCAACCTGCCCTTAATGGAAACTCTCACAAAAGCATCAAGGAGTTTTGCATGTTAAGGGACTGGGGAGCCAAATAAAGTTTCCTGATCTAAACTTTAACATAAACTTCTGTTATCAAAGCTTCAGTAGAAATCTGGAATCAGAATTTTACATTATAGTGCACCACAAAGTGTGTATTGATATTCCAAAGTGAGCTATATTCTCAGTTATATAGGTTTCCTTTTCTGAGTTATTAAAGTAGACATACTGAGCTTTTCCCACAAATACCTGCTATCAGAAGAAGACGGCATCATGTAAAACTGACAAATAAAACAACTTTCCCACAATGGTTTAAAAAGGCATCTCAGTCACTTCTGACAGGTAATGCCAAATGCCAATTCTAGATTCTAGAATTTGCATTTCATTCATATCAAAATAACTAATTTGTATTTCACAGTAAAGAAAATTGAATGACATAGAAGTGGTACCTTTATAAAGACGCATTTTTGCTGCATTCCTAAAGGAGCCATATCTAAATCTGCTGTTTTCAAATGTATATTTATTGGATGAAAACAACAGTGCTGGCTCTAGGCCTTGACAGGAAACAATCATGACACCTAGTTAAAATAAAAATGAAACAATATATCTGCAGCGCAAAGTTCTAAACATTGCTTACTTACAAACGTTGCCAGCTTTGCAAATTCATACTTGCTCAGGTTTTTAGGCAGAGAGTTCTTTTGTGCAGTAATGAAAAATTCAGAATGAGGAAACAGGCAACAAATTTTATGCTGGTTTGTATTAAAATTGTATCTTTCCTGAATCAGGTGGCCTTTATGTGTCCTGTGCTATAGCTCTCAGAATACCAACATATACAATTTGGGAACGGCAGATACAGAGATAAGCTGATTATATGTTAAAGACAACTGGACAGGAACTGGAAGAAGGGGACAAGTAGACAGTTATTTTTTCTATTTATTTCAGACATGAACTCCAAATGTTTAATGCAGTCTGTTTTTAAAAGGCATAAGTAGTTCATATTTGTTTCTGTGGCTACTGGAATCCGATGGCAGATGTCCTTATTTCTGCAAACTCAGGGGAACAGGCAGTTGAAACAAGGTAGGCCAGGAACCCTATTCCCTAAGGTCAGGTCTGAGCCACGTACTGGTTCTCTTTCTGTTGTAGTTTCTCCACACACACACACACACACGCAAAAAAGGAAATTATCACCCAGTATTCTTTCTTATTTCTGTGATAACCAGAGCAACCTTCAACCTAAGGAAGACAAAGGAGAAAATATTGAGGAAAGTGTAGGTAACGAACAGCTTAGAAGAGCTAAATCAACATTTCTCAAACTTGGTAACTTTAAGATGTGTGAGTTTCAACTCCCAGAATTCCCCAGCCCACCATGCTTACATTGATGTTGAAACTGACATCCAGATACCTGGAAATCCATGGAAGTGTGAATAGATGCATTTTTAATTATATTCAATTTATATGAATAACTCTACTAAATTTACTGAACTCATTAGGTGTGGACATATGAAGTAAATCTTTTAGGGGGAGAATAAAGTCAAAACGTATGTGATTTTCAAATACATAATAGTTAAATTAATACCATTATTCTATCATAAAGATACAATTTTAATTCCTCTCCCATTTGTTCTTTTTGCTTATTAGGGCGTTATTCATATAATTCACTCAAACTCTGTTCTATTAGGAGTGTCCAATGCAGTTTTGGAAGGAAGAAACACATAGCATTCAAATGCTAAAAGGAGAAAGAGGGCTCTTTCTCATTCAAGAAGAATAAGGAAGAACAGGCAAAGGTTCTCATGTTGTATATATCAGTAATGCCTTAAAATATGTGCCTTTTCCTAGGATCTCATGGCTGGCTTCCAGAGGTATGTAGAGAACCCCTACCTGTTCTTGAATGGGAGGAAGAATTAAAAATACAAAAATACAAAAAGATACAGCTAGTCCAGAAACCCTGAAATTCATCCAAAAGGATATCATGTGTTGTTGGAAGCCACCAAGAATTCAAGGAGCACTAGGAGAGTTGCTGTGAGCAGTTAAGATTGAGGTACTGTCTTCAGTAGATTAGTTGAAATGCATGATTTCCGTCACCTATTGCCTTAATCCAGCATGGTAAATATTAGCAATTTACTCTTGAATTATTACTGACACATTATTTCCCTTCTGAAATAAATATAGCCTTTCTCAAATCCTTGTTGTTGTTGTTAGTTGCAAAGTCATGTCCGTCCCATCGCAACCTCATGGACAACGTTCCTTCAGGCCTTCCTGTCCTCTACCATCTTCTGGAATCCATTTAAGCTCCCGCCTACTGCTTCAGTGACTCAATCCAGCCACCTCATTCTCTGTCATCCCATTCTTCTATTGCCCTCAACCTTTCCCAGCATTAGGCTCTTCTCCAGTGAGTCCTTCCTTCTCATTAGTACTTGCCAAAGTACTTGAGTTTCAACTTCAGGATCTGGCCTTCTAAAGAGCAGTCAGGGTTGATCTCCTCTAGGATTGACCAGTTTGATCACCTTGCAGTCCAGAGGACTTGCAGGAGTCTTCTCCAGCACCATAGTTCAAAACCTAGTGAACGAAAAATCAAAGGAGAAGACCTAAATTACACTGAATGCACATTGCATAATATATAATGTATAAATAATAATTTATATAGAAGTCTTTCTGACAAACTGTAAATCAGTGTAATAAATTGTATCCATCAAATTCATTTACTGCCTCAATGTTTTGACTTCTAGACCATCTTCTTTGGTATCTTTCATTTCTCAAGCCTCTCAGAACAGCATGTAAACTATTAAAAACCTGGCATAACAAAACGCTTTCCAACTTTTTTCATCTTCCCTAAATTATTAATTCCTAAAAACAAATAAAACAACCATGTTTAATCTCATATTATACTAGCCCACTATAACATTTTATATTGTTAAGTTAGAATTTGTCCAACCTTTAGCAAAATGTTTTGCCATTATAATTCCAAATCCCCTGAGTGCGTAGGGATATCAAGTGAATATTATGTTAACCACAACACTGTTTTATCAGGCAGATGTGGTCTTAGTAAGGTTACAAGTTGTTTCATTAGATGCCAAAATGAATCTTACAGACTTGTTTCACACATCACTGTAAACCAGGTTGTTTGGCATAGTTTACTGAACAAGGCACAGTTGTCGGAATTCACACAATAGTTTATAAATCAATATAAGTGGACTCATTCAACATGTTAAAAATCAACTAGCATGCATTCTGACTTATAATCAGTCTTGAATATTTAAATCCTTAAAAGACCAGAAGATTTAAATCTATATATTAGCATTCAGTGGCGTTAGGTGGTGATGAGAATATGTATTCTGAACTTCTGATACAAGTAATGCTCCTCCATACCCCTCCCCGAAGTTTATTTGGCTTTTTCAAATTGAAGCAACAGACATTTTTGAATTTTAAAAAACTGAGATTCATTTTTAAATAAATTATGTGCTCCCTTTCTTATCAGTTTCCGTACTTTTGTTAAATAGGCTGCAACGTTTTATAGCAACGTTTTTCAAGAAACCTGTGTGACTGGGGAATTCTGGGAGTTGACGTTAACACAGGTTAAAGTTGCTAATGTTGAGCAATACTGACTTAGCTTAGTTTGCTTGCCCAAATTTTAAGTTTGTTCTTGGAACAAATACCTTCGCATCAGAGAGGAGAACAGCAGTAATGTGGCAGCCTTTACTGACTTGGCAGATTCGAGAACAAGTTACGTAGGTCGAATCCGCCTTCACCTTTCAAGGTATGGGGAGGCGGTTTACGAAAGCTCCTCCCGCCCTGCCCGGATCCAGGTATCGTTGGCAGCTGCAACTCGACAGTGAGTGAATCGCGCCGACGTAGAGCATGGCGGAGTCGCAGATTCTTTGCCTGGAGGATACTCACGTGAACGAACGGGTCAGTGAACATAATCCGCGATACTACTACAGCGAGGAGCAACGGCGGGCACTGGAGGTCCTCGTGGCCGACGGGGAGAAAGCGTATAAGTCGCAGCTGAAGAAAGAGCAGCTGCCCGACTTCCTTTCCAGCAGAGAGTTGGAGGTCTTGCGGGACGGCTGGCGTGCTTACGATGCCCACCTGGAGAATGGCAAAACGGTCATCGGACCTTCGGGAAAACCCCTGTCGCTCTCTTACTGGCCCGAGCGCTCCGACACGGAGATCCCTCCGCTGGACATGGGGTGGACTCATAACTATTTCTACCGGGGAGCCACGCGTTTGATTCTGTACACGCACCCGCGCAAGGAAGACAAGGCGCCTCACGTCAAGCAAGTAGTGCGTGAAACGATCCAGCAAGCGAAGAAGGTGGGTAGTTCGCCTTTGCGCCTTTCAGATCTGAAGGCAGCTCCCCAGCCAGCCAGCCAGCCAGCCAGCCAGGGCCAGCGAAGTCCTCTGCCTTCTGATCTACCTCGACGTATGAGTTAACTTGCCCCATAATTCCTCCAACTGAGCGAGGGATCTCTTCCTTTCCTTCACCGGCGCGGACGTTACCTCTCAAAAAGGTAGCGTTTGCACCTCGCCATGAATTGAAATCTTGTTTAATCAGTTTCAGCGTGTTGTGAAACCTGCCATTGTAATTTATTCGGTAAAGTTTATAGTAGCTGCATAAACTAATGGTGAACGCGGGTCTTGTGCAACAAGCATTGTGGGACATTATAGAAAGTTTTATTTAGATGGACAAAATCAGTTGAATGAATGTTGTTCCAGGCCCTAAACATTTCATGTCCACTAAAGTTCATTCTCTAATAAACCAGCACTTTATTTTTTTTTCTGCTTAAAGCTAACGTAAAGGTTCTGTTTATTTTAAAGAAAGGTTGCTTAATTTGCATCTGGAAGGAGCTTAAGGACATTGCTTATAATATCTTATGAAAAACCAACTCTACAGAACAAGCCTTGACATGTTATTTGAAGTAATGGTGGTTTGTAATTTTCAACAGCAAATTTTTCATTATTCCATGCAAGTTTCTCAATATCAATATACACTGATTCTAAATAAATGCTAAATTTATCTTTAAAAATTCAGGTGAACTATTTTAATTATTACAAAGTACAACCATTTTCTTTATGCATTCAACCAAATTGAAATAAATGGTAATGACGTTAAGAATTCATAGATTGTGTCAATATTTTTTAAATTATTAAACCACACTTTCATCCCTTTCTTATGAAAGCTTGGGTTTTATATATTGCCCATAACAATTTTACAAGATAGAAAAGATATCTTCCAAGAACATTTAAGTGGGGATTTATTCTACCAGGTGAGAGTATCTTTTGATTTTGTCTGGGCTAAGGAAAGAGATGTCTTCTTTAAAAGGTATATGAAAACTTTAAGAATATTTTGAAGATTAATCCAGCCCTCGCAGCTTTTTTTTGTAAATAACTTTCCTAGATCATTCATTCTTCAAAACTATCTAAAACAATATGATAAGTAGAACTGAAATCTTAAGATGGATTTTTTTTAAAGAATTCAGTTTTAATTCTCTTTCTACTTGGAAACCGCTTCTGGACTTTGTGCTTGAGGTAGAAAAAAATGAAACTTTGATTTTGGGTTTTACCAATTAGATAGCTAGTTTATAGAAATGGCTAGTTTATATTACTATGTAAAAGTAAAAAGTTGAAGTTTGATGCTATTGTCTTTCTCTACTGCGCCAAAGGGAGTCGAATTCAACACCTTTTCTTCTTTTTTCTTTGCCCTACACTTTTCCCTTCCCTTTCTCCCCCTTATTTTCCTACTATTTTCTTTTGTATTTTAAATTATAAACTAATAAAGAAATAAAATATGCAAAAGGAATCTAAGAATTTAGTTTTGATTATGAATTCATTTTAAGTCAGTTGATTGGCATTATATTAACACATTATAAGAGAGATTTGAAATACATCTGAGATTAGTAATGATAATAAATGGCATTGGGGTTTGGGTCCTCTGGTTTTAGACTGGAAGTCTAAAGTCCATCTTTGACTCTGAGGAGATTATGCTCCCTATTCAGAGCCAGTGTGCAATTTGTGAATTCACCTTTTCTGCTTGAAGAGCAGATGGCAGCAGTAGTCAGAATGGCCTATGCATAGCTTCATCTTATATACCAGTTGTGCCTGTCCCTGGATCAGAAGGCTCTGCTTGCTGTCACTTTTACTATCACTTTCCAATTTCATTACTGTAATGTACTTTACATGGGTCAGAAGCCATAATTTCTCCAGAATGCATTGCCATAGGTAATTAGTTTCACACCCTGCTACAATAGCAACACTGTTTTGTGAGCTATTCTGGTCCCAATAGATTCTCAGGTCAATTCAAAGTGGTGGTTAACATTTTCACAATCCACTCCTCCACTGATGGAAGCAGGATCTCCTGTACCTGATGGCATCTGCCTATCCCACATACTGTACTAGAAATGGGCGTGTTTCAGATCTTCCCCTTAAGGCAATGCCATTTGGCAGGACCCAGGAGGCATGCCCTTTTGTTGCTGTACCTGTCTTCTGGAATGATCGCTCAATCACTCACTCACTGTCACACACACACAGCCTGATTTTGTTGGCCTTTTGAAAGGCTCTAAAATCTTAGTCATTTTCCCAGGCATTGGAGTCAAATTGATTTGAGTTTACACCTGGAGGGGCATAAGTAGAAATGAGGGTTCCAACCACCTATTACATTTTGTTAATGTTTTTAACTATTTGGGGTGGGGTTCTTTTTGATTGTATATTGCCAAGAGTTGCAAGTTGGGTAACAATATAAAGTTACTAAATAAATATTACCTACATTTTGAACCTGCTCTTTAAGCTCACATGCGCACAACTGCTTTATTGTGCTCTCCCACCCCATAGCTAGGAGGGATTTAATTAATTCATTAATTAATTAATGTATATAGCTGCCTGCCTCACTGAAAGTAACTCTGGAAGGTATACAACTAATAGCTAAAACAATCTTACAACCATTAAAGCAAAAAAGAATAAAAGCAAGATTGCAGAAGAACATTATGCTGCCCCATATTTTGCTGTTCCCACAGTGCACTTTCACTGCACATCCAGAAGAGATCCATGCTGTAATTCTGGCTGGTCAGCTTCAGTGTGCAACATTAAAAATGCTGTGATTGGTGATTTCCTCAATTAAAATCTCAGATTTGCCAACCATTCACTAAAAAGTCTCCCTAATTACTATGCACAGTACTCTTACTTTGTGCAGTAATTTTTTTTCTTTCCTATCATACCATTCACTGATCAATTTTTTTAAAAAAAATAGTCTCTGGAACTGTGGGTTGATGATTGAGTGTTCCTGTTATTCACCAGGTTGCATCAATTTTGTATGTGTTTTTTTACCTTTTGCTGGCATGTGGTAGTAATTTGACTTTGTGCAGCCAATGTGCAACTGCTGAATAAGTGTTAACGAAGACCTGGAGTTGGAAAAACATGTCCAATTGCAAGTACTGATATGATCTGTAAACTTACTTTGAATGGTTTATGGTTTCATAGATATTGGATTTCATTGTTGTGAAGTGCCCTGTAATAGAGGGTGAGAAATACTTTAGGAGACTTGGCAAAGAGCCATTGCTAAAGGAAATGTCCAATAAGAGACAGCATAGCCCACAGCTAGATAGTGGCCAGAAGAGACTCTCCCTAGTTTCTTGGGTAATAAAGGAGTTGTGACAGGAGAATTGCACTTTCAGACTTGCAAGATTCTATCAGTATAGCATTACACTAAATTAGAATTAGCTTATCTGGTTGTGATAAGATGATAGTTGCATGCCATTCAGGGCCTTCCGATTCAGAACTAAAGATAAAAAGTTTCCATGCATTCGGGGGGGGGGGGGCAGCAAAATCCATAGCCACTCGGTAATGCCAGAATTGAGTTAAACTTATTCTTCTCCATGTGTACCCTCACCGTTCCCAGACACTAGAAAAGAAATTTGGTGGCATCACTTTCCAATCTGGAACAGAGATGTATGGTTGGATTTCATTAGCATGCTGATGGTACTTTACCATGTATCAATCATACCTAGAACTTTCATGTACATGTTAATAGGAAGCAGGAAGAGTGTTGAGCTTTGAAGAACCTCACAAAGCTGCCATCTTGAATTTGATTTCCCCTCCCCCCCAACATGATTGGGAACTGGTTCTGGAGAAGGAAGGAGATTCATTGCAACGCTGGGCCTTCCATTCTCAATCCCCTAAACTGGTCTAGTAGATTCCACGACTGATGGTTTTAAAAGCTAATGAGAGATCAAGGAGGACACTATTCCCATCTCAAGGCTGCCAAAATTCAAGACGCACAATCAATACTGTCTTCATGGTACAATAAAATAAATTTAATAACATAATATCTGGAGACACAGAAGAGAAAGAACTATGCAAAATACAAATACTTACAAATAGAAGTAGAAAGATTATGCCAAAGAAAGCAAAATTAGTACCGATAATAATAGGTGCCTTGGGTGCAATCTCTAAACATTGGGAGAACCACTTGAACACCATTGGCATTGACATAATTTGCAATCAGTCAAATTGCAAAAGGCAATTTGCAATATCATCATTATCATTGCCCATTGAGGCAATACCTTGATATGGTTGTGGGGCTTGTGTGCTCTGAGGAAGATGAGAGCTATGCCAGAGATTCAACTATACTGGGCAGGTCTCATCAGAGGAGACAAAGTGTGTGTCTCCCATAAATAATATGGTGAGAGGTAAACTGTAGAAATCCATACTGACTCGGTTGTTGTCCAGGTTAAGAAAGACCGTGCTAGAAGAGGATATTTGAAAAAAATGTATCATCCAGAATCAGAAAGAACAGAAAGAACATCATCCAGAATCAGAAATAACAGAAGCTAGTAAATCAATGCCAGTTTATAATATGAAATGAAGTATTCACAGAAGCAGAATTGGAAGAATTGCAAAGGTCTAGGGCAAAGAAATCAAAGCCTTGCCAGAAGTAATTCAGACTGCAGAGACAAACCAAGGGGAGTTGGCAGTAGAGGAATTCAGCAGACATATAGAACTGTTTTCATTTGGAAACCAGGCAGCCTCTCCTTTGCCTCAGAAACAACAAAGCCTCTGACTAAAGAAATGCAAGAATTGAAACAAAAATTAGCTGA